GGAAATTTTTCTAACCACGAGAAGTATAAAATCTGTAAGTGGAGGACCTCTTATCATTAATGCCTGGTCAAGACACATTCTTCGCCATAAGCAATTAACTCATCAGGGCAGTGTTTACATTAGGACATCCTGGAAAAGTTTTAGCAGGATCCCCGTCGTACTTGGAATAGACAAACAGCGCGTAAGGCTGGTCGTGAAGCCGCGTAGATGTATGTCTGAGGCGTCTGATCCTCAGGGAGGCCGTGGCTCCGGCCAAAGCGTCACATAACATTCCCTGCGGTACAGAGAAGTTACCCAAGGAAGCAGACGCCTCAAGGACACGATTCCCGCCCACATTCATCAACCTGTCAACTCATTGGTTGCGACAGCGAAACAGTTATCTGCACAGTCGTCCCGCACGTCCCAATGCAACGAAACGGCAATTTTAAAAAGTGTGGCGCCTGATCTTGTGTATGACTGAATTCCAGATCAAACTTGTCTAGGTTTCTTTCTCAGTCACATCGGATTTCAAAGGTGCCAAAAAAGGAAGTATGCTGGTGGACGCCAAATTTCAGTCCGAAAGAAAGAAGGCTGGCAGAGGCCTCAAAATATGAAAGTAACTAGAAACGCTGTTAGACAGAATCAAATGATAAGGAAAAGAATCATGACAGCCAAAGAGATGCAGATCATGAAAACAACTGCACAAGGCATTTTTTTCTTGTTATAAGAACCAGACCTCTTCCAAAGAGGAAATTAAAAGCAGAAAGAAACATGGAAACAATAGCAAATAAAAAAACACAACTTTCAGGTCACCAAAAAAAAAAAAAAGAAACCTGTAAGGAGGTGCGCACTAGCTTTGTTTCATCTGCTGTGTTTAGTAAGGACCACGAGCTTTCCCTGTGCTCTGTGGTGATGAGCAATATTCAACACTGTTGAAAAACTGGTGTTTGTGTGTTTCTCCCCCAAAGTGTGAGCTCGGTGGTATTTGCAGAGTCCACTGAACAATGACAATACACAGTCCGTCACAAGATCCAGCCTCGTCCTTTTGAGCACTGAAGTTTTCCTATCACTGTTTTGTTTGTAAACGGTTTTCAACTGGGATAGCATCACTTGCATCAAATAGGTTTTCAAACTGGGTAAATATATACAGATGATGGAGATTTTGCATCGAGTGCAGCAGGCTGTGTTTACTCAGATGATTCATTATTCAAATAAAGATGCACTAGACCCGACAAGAAGGAATATTTATTCTCCAGCTAACAAAAATTTCATGGGTGTTATTACTATACTCATCATGCGCACTTAGGGGGAAAAAAGTCAAAGTGAGAAAACTAATGTGCCTTATTTAAACAAAACCGTATATAAAGAACACATTAAAATAATGGGGGAACCGCTCACAAAAGGAAGTGGCAAATCAAGCACTCTAAGCCAGACGCCAAATGTAACTCCAGCTTTAGGATTCTGCAGGAATGTGACAGGGACTGATGAGATGGGGATTTACTTGGTTTGTCATAATATAAAAATCCATGAGAGATTTTGGGGGGCCGGAGGGGGGTACTTTTCTGGGTCTTGAAAACCATCTATCTGAGATGTTATTCAACAAAGTGAAACAAATTCTAAATGACTGTAATGCACCATGAACAACATTCTTGGTCAGCATATGACAATGCAGCTGTTGTGAAATTTGAACAACTCTCTTCACAAACACTGATAAATCTGCAGGAATGTACCATATGCCACTCATTCCCTTAATCTCGGCAGTGAAAGAGCCACCTCTCGGGTCCTGAGGTCATTGACCCCCATCTCTGCGTTTTGCAACAGTGACACGTTCTCTCTTTAGGTTCATCTCATTTAAAAAAAAAATTAACTGGTACGATATACATAATATAAAATTTACCATCCTAACCATTTGTTAGTGTACATGTCAGTCGTAATTACATGCACATTGTTGCAACCCCCCTCCAGAACTTTCTCATCTTGCAAAACTAAAACTCTGTCCCCTTTAAACACTAACTCCCCATTTCCCCTCGGCCTCCACCCCAGGGTCATGACCATGCTACTCTGTCTCTGAATCTGACTACTTTAGGTACCTCATAAAAGTCTTTTTGTATGACCATCCTAGACCAAAGGCTACATTTTTCTAAGAAGAATTCTGTTAACAAAATAAGAGGAAGTAACAGATGAGTGTGCAGTTAAAATAAAATAAAATAAAACCCACATAGGAGAAGAAGTATCACAGAGATGTATCAATCAGCTAATTAATAAAACATTTTATGTCATGTGTTTTATTTTGTGATACATTATAGTATTTGAGCAACTTGCGGTGGTGATGTGAGGGATTTGTTGTGATTTCTGTACAGATTCTAAATAAATTTTCACATCTGTACCAAGTTTTCATATTTATCATTTTGTATTCTTTTCCTCAAAGAGGGTCCCCCAAATTGTAAGGCTTCAGGCCCCACAGAACCTGGATCTACTCCCAGTCCAATGTTAAATAACACCTGCCTTGTGTTCCAAAACCCAGACTTTGAAACCGAAATGAAATGTCATTACCCCCAGCAGGCAGACGAAGATGGAAGACCTGATACCACCCAAGGTTGACAAGAGGGTGAAAAACTGGACATCTTCACAGCCGGCTGTGGGAGAACACAGTGGTTCATCCTTTCTGGCAAACATTCTGGCAATGATTGCAGAAGTTTAAAACGCACGTGTCCTTTGATCCAATAATTTCACATCTGGGAATCTACTCCTGCCCATTTGAACCCACACACCAGCCACTCACCTACATGGGGGTTAGGATAGGATAACATTGTCTACGAACGCAAGAAATGAAAAACAAGTTCATGAAACATATCCCCAAGGATGTCCGGAGCCAATTCTTTAAAAACAAAGGCTATTTTTAAAAGAATCTTTAATGTCCTGAGAGCATGTTACAAGAAAAAGGATAAAAACTCACATATGGGCCACAAACCCACTTTTCTGCAAAAATAATCCACTCACTCAGTATTTATATATGATCACCTACAAACTGTACTGAGCATTTTCTATCTGCTAGACACTCCGAAGGCTTTGGAGACCAAGGACAGAACACGTCTCTGCCCTCGTGGGGCTTCCTCTTAGCGGGAGACGCAGAAAACAAACTACCCATCCAGAAAGCGACAGAGGAATATAGATAGTTTGAAACGATGCATTTCGTAGCAGCTGCTAATTTCATTCCCGGACAAATACCCTGGAGAAACTCTCCATCTGTGAGCAAGGAGACAAATGCCAGAGTGGACAGAGCAACGGTGATTATCTGACAAATACTTGTTGTGGGCCAACTTCCCGAATGTTGCTTTGTAAGAGCAAACACCTGCGGTGGGAGTGCGGAATCCAACTCTTCCCCAAAGAGAGAGAATGAACACATGAAAGAGAGAGTATGCACATCATAGCACACTGTAGCCATGTAAGAGACTAATCAGAGCCCCGAGTTTCAACACGAACACGTCTCAAGAACACGACCGCTGCATAATGGAAGGAAGACACAAAAGGATGCCAGGCATTCAACACCTCCAAGCTGCCAATCACATCTCCCCGAGAGACGAGAGATGCGCTCTGCTCGGCAGTTGTCTGAAACGATCTTTTTTCTTTGCTTGTTTACAGCTCTTAGGTGCTGTTTTGGCTTCCACCTTCCATAATTCAATTAGTGAGAGCAGCTAAATGAGTGGGGGGTCCGCTGGAATCAAATGCCCACTGCCTGGATTCCTGCCCCTCAGTGAAGACTGCTCTGCGAGTATCATTAGACTTGCTGATCTCTCTTTCAAGAAGCATACAGAGACATGACAACTACATGCTGGGAGTTTTTTTTTTTTCCCTAATCCGTACCTATTTACCTCTACAGCCTGGAAAATTCCAGTCAGTTCCACTGTTCCCTCCCCTCCTATGCGGGGCTGCAGTTTCCATGGCAACGGGTAAGCCAGCAGGTACCAGCATGAACAAAGCGGTGTTGCTGATAATAAAATTGCCTGGTGGGGGGGGATGGGGAGGATTTTGGCAGGACTGACGCCTCCCCCACCCCCAAACTGTGGCTCTTAATTTCAGAGCAGCTTCTTGTGATTGAAAATCTTACACACACACACATACACACACACAGCCCGTGACAAAAGTATGATTTGGAGAATCTAATTCCCGTGGGGATGGAGAGGAAGGAGTATGTGGGGAGGCTGAGCGGCCCTGGCCGGCCAGCACCTGCATACAGTGGTGCATAATGTGGCCCCTCCATGCAGCAGTAGGGGCAGCACCCAGGGAATTGTGACTTTAATGAACCCTCCAGGTGCATCTGGCACTTGTCCAGCTTTAGAACCACTGGTCTGCACGGCTGATCAACCTGATTAACGCCTTATCAGGGTTGACCATGTTCACCCCATTATTTCCCATCGGATAAGAAAGACCTTCCCATGTAGCCCTCGGGTCTCTGGATATTCTCTCCCCGTTAAATCCTGAGATAGCCCCTCTCCCCACACTCCCTGCCACACTCATATCTGCCTCCTGACGTCTCTCCTTTTTCTCCCCATCTCCAACCAGCTTCTAAGCTCCTCACACACTCAAATGCCAGGAAGGGGTACTGGGGAGGGAGGGACTGCTTAGTTGGTTCCGGGGGGGGGGTCCTTTTGGGGTGATGAAAAAAGACTTTGCAACTACGTGGAGGTGATGGTCGCCCAACCTGGTAACACTAAATGCCACTGAATCATTCTTTAAAATAGTTAATTTTACAATATCTGAATTTCACCTCCATATATTTATTAAAAAAAAAAAACCCACTTCGAATTCATCACATTTCAAATACGGTCACATCATTTACAAAAAACCTAGTCAATCAGAAAGTTGGGTCATGATTCTCTTTAAACCAGTGCTACCCAATAGAAAATATAGTCCAACTCATGTATATAATCGAAAACTTTCTAGTAAACAGGAAATTTTCCAGGACACAAAGAAACAGTTACAATTAGTCTGAATAACACAAAATGTTTTATCTCACTCACCATGCCTGAAAACTGTCCTTTGTCTGTCCTGGATAAAACATGAACGTCAATGCGAACTCTCCGTCTCCAGAGCCCGCCAGTCCATCGATTCCCAAGTCTTGTTGATTCTGCCTCAGAAACAGGTGTTCCATCCGCCTGCCCTACTGATCTCTTCTTCAGATCACCGCAAAAACATGGTCAAGCCACCTCCTGCTGATGCCTTTTCACGAAATCCCTGTTGGTCTTAGAAAAAATTCCACCCTCCTCATGACAGCCTACAAACCACCACAGTGACCCCAGATTTTCTTTCTAGAGAAATTTGGGGGCACCAGCTACGTTGGAAGGGGCTCTGTGGAATTTTCCTTGAAGCTGGGTCCACACAAAGTCCTGAACCATTAGGCTCTATACCTGGAGTGGGCTTTTTTCTGTAAAGAACCAGATAGTAAATGTTTTGGGCTTTGCAGGGCCATGTAGACTCTGACTCAACTTTTCAACTCTGCCACTGGATCGTGCAAGCAAATGCAGGCGATAGTAACGAATGAGCATGGCCGTGTTCCAATAAAACTTTATTTATGGACACATTTCTCCATCTCCCTGACTGCTGCGTCTCAGCCACCTCTCCATCCTCTCTCTCCCGTGTGCTGCAGACATTTCTTCGCTGGTCTCCTCTGTACCATCTCTGGTCTTCAGTTAATTTTCCTGACAAGCATCAGGGTAGATTTAGCAAAGGGAAATTTGGTCAGCAGATGACATTGCTTTTTAGATATATACCGAGTTCTTTATGGGGATCTACAAGCAGATGGACTCCAGAATTTCCACACAGAAGGGCCTTGACAGGGACAGTCTGGCTGGAGGTTGGAAGGCTTATGGGACTTGCCTCGAAGCCATGATTGTGCAATCATACCCCATCACACAAGGCAGGTATTGGAAAGAAGCACACACTCCCTTGAATACACGTATTTAGGGACTTACAGAGTTAGGTGCAGAGGAGTAAGAGTGAAAATGTACTCACTGTTTGAGTTATTATTCCAGTGTTTGTGTACTTAGTTCAACAAACACGCCTGGAAGTAGACTGCCATGATATGCCAACACTTAAACCCTTCATTCATAGGGAAAACTGGACCATAGGCCATAATGGGCATTTGGAACAAGCACTCAACTCATCTCAAAACGGGGACACAAGATTTCCCCCCCAGAACACCAGAGCTACGAATGTGACCCAGGGATATTATCTATACACAGATGGCTAGTATTCAATCTTGCTATGGTTTAGAAATGGATGTCCCCAGAATACTGGCCATGTTGTGCCGTTTTTGGGAAAACCGTTCCCTTCCTGAGTTGGATGTCAATGTCTACAGAACTTGGACTCAAGCCTGGCATTCGGAGGTCATTAATCAGGGGGGAAGTCCATGGTAGGTGACTGCCCTAGGGTTTTATTTGGCAACTGGGGCCAAGCTGACATCCTAACAGTTTTCAGAGATGGTTTAGTTTTTCCCTCAGAAATAATCAGCTCCAACAAAATCCTCCTTTGTGTTCAGTTTTTGGTCCAGATCTTGTGTTTAGGGGCTGTTTGCTGAAGGACACCGAGTATATGTCTGAGCTGAGGATGGGAGGAAGCGTCCGGAGCAGGTAGAGAGCTCCTTTGCTCATTTCACCAAAAGACAGCATAGTGAATACTTTTATAATCGTGGGATGGGAAGTGTCCCATTCAACTTAACAAAGAAGCCAATGGATATGAAAGAAAACATTAATAAATCTGTCTCCACAAACACTGAAAAACTAGATGCAGGGAAAAGCTCATCATGAGTAAGAATGAGTCAAAATATCACAAAACATACATTCAAAACATATATACTTAGACACTAAGCCCACAGAGTGCCAAGAGGTGAAAAAAAGGGAAAAAAATCCTCAAAATAAAAATGCAGGCAAAGGATATGCACTCAGAGAGAGAGAGAGAGAGAGAGCAGAGGAGAGGAGAAAACTTGAATGTTGAAAAGCACCTCATTTGGGATCCAAAAAACTGGACATCAAAACCAGAATGAGAGGTTGTTACTCCTGTCAGACAGAACGGTGAGGAGAGCAATAATATCCAGGGTTGTTAAAGACGTGGAGGACAGGGCACTGCCCCAGGCTCACGGTATAGAGCAGGTGGCAGGGATGGTCAGCGCAGCTTTTCCGGAGAACACACAGCAAGAGCTATCGGAGCTAAAGCAGAACTGAACACATGCAAGTCCACTTCTGGTCTGCAAGAACACAGGTCCACCACTGCAACAGGCACTCAAGAAAACTGGGTTGCAGTTGCGGGTGGGGGTTGGGGGGAGTATTTGATGCAAACACTGAGGGTGAAGATGAGGTGGCATTCACTGCCAGAAAAAGGCACAGTCTTCCCTTAAAAATGAATGTTGTGAGGGCGCCTGGGTGGCTCTGCCTTCGGCTCAGGTCACAATACCTGGGGTCCTGGGATTGAGCCCTGAGCCCCATGTCAGGCTCACTGCTCAGCGGGGAGTCTGCCTCTCCCTCTCCCTCTGCCCCTCCCCATGCTCGCTCGCTCTCTCTCTCTCTCAAATAAATAAATAAAATCTTTAAAAAGATAAAAAAATAAAAGACGTAAAAAGAAACAGGTAAGAATAATTGTAACGATGTATTTCATTTAAACCAGCATATCCAAACTAATACTATTTCGACATGCTGCATTGGCCACATTTTGAGGGCTCGCTGGCCACATATGGCTCATTATTGAGAAACTCTGTGCACCAAGAACCCTGTGAGACATAGGAATACGGCGGGAGCCAAAAAGGGCACGTTTCCCATATTCTGGAAACTTCCATCTTAGTAGAAGAAACAGACGTAAACATAAACATGTGTAGCGAGAGGCAGTCAGGAAAGGGTCTCCTGCCTCACTGAGGCAGGATGTATGCATGGGTGAGGAGAGGCCCTGGGGAGGGTGGAGGTGGGTCGTGGAGCCGGAAGGCCGTGCCTCGTGGGGCTTGTTTCCAGAACTCTCTCTCCTCCCAGCTTGGCCTCTTCAGCCACCCAGGCCCCAGCTGATTACCGGGACCCCACTGCCCCCGCCACACCTCCACACCTCTACACCCTGTTCACCTGGTTCAACCGCCCAGACCCACCTCTTTCCTCCTGAAGATGACAGCAGCCCCAGGGCCTCTGAGCCCCCCTGCTGCCCCGCCTGGCACCCCACCCACAGGCAGCACCAGGCTTCTGAGGGGCCCATTGCTGTAGGGCCAAGAACATCCTCTTTCCTGAGGTGGACAAGGCCCTGCAGGACACGCCAGGTGAAGTGCTCTCCCCTGGCACAGACACACACGTGGACACACAGAGACACACGCTCATGGGCACACACACACTCCAGTCTCCTTCTAAGCATCCGAGCCTCCCCCCAGAGGCCAGCTCCCGCCCAGAGGACAACCGAACCCCTGGGCCTCCCTCGTCCGCTGTGTCAGGCCCTGCACAGACCCCACCATCATCTGAAGTCACACTGCTCATGCCTCACTGCAGGGTTCTCTTTAGCCTTCCCCCCTGGAGGGTATGCTCCTGGGGCTGCGGCCCTTTTCTGTCTGGTTCCCTGTCACCTCCGTGCACGGTACAGTGGGTGCTCAGCTGGCAAGCGCTACGTGAATCAGTGGGTGTGTGCACGATATCGCCCGCCCGAACCCCATGGGCTTGATTTTCGGATCCTAGCTCTCACAGACAAGCCCCATGTGCACGTGCGCCCTTCACTTCTCTTTCTCTAAATGTTAAAATCTAAAATAATTGAAAACAGGTGTTCAAACAAAAATCTGTACATGTGTGCTCACGGCAGCACTGTTCACAGTAACCAAAAGGTGGAAACCACCCAACGCCCATCAAGGAGGAGCGGATGAACAAATGGGGTCTATCCACACAGCAGAATACCACTCAGCCATACAGAGGAGTGCATGACTGATATAAACCACGACATGGGTAGCCCTCAACACCATCATGCTAAGTGAGGGAAGCCAGTCAACACAGACCACACGTGGTATGCTTCCGTTTGTAGGAAAGGTCCAGAATCGACAAGTCTATAGACACAGAAAGTAGACGGGTGATTGCTCAGGGTTGGAGAGAAGGAACAATGGGAGGTGGTATGCTTCCGTGTGTAGGAAAGGTCCAGAATCGACAAGTCTATAGACACAGAAAGTAGATGGGTGATTGCTCAGGGTTGGAGAGAAGGAACGATGGGAGGTGGTATGCTTCCGTGTGTAGGAAAGGTCCAGAATCGACAAGTCTATAGACACAGAAAGTAGACGGGTGATTGCTCAGGGTTGGAGAAAAGGAACGATGGGAGGTGGTATGCTTCCGTTTGTAGGAAAGGTCCAGAATCGGCAAATCTATAGACACAGAAAGTAGACGGGTGATTGCTCAGGGTTGGAGAGAAGGAACGATGGGAGGTGGTATGCTTCCGTTTGTAGGAAAGGTCCAGAATCGGCAGATCTATAGACACAGAAAGTAGACGGGTGATTGCTCAGGGCTGGAGAGAAGGAACGATGGGAGGTGGTATGCTTCCGTGTGTAGGAAAGGTCCAGAATTGACAAGTCTACAGACACAGAAAGTAGACGGGTGATTGCTCAGGGTTGGAGAGAAGGAACGATGGGAGGTCATAGCTGGATATGGAGTTTCTCCCTGGGGTGATAAACATGTTCTCACACCACCGGTGGAGATGGTCACACAGCCCTGCAGATACACTAACCACCACCGCACCGTTTTCCACGAACTCACCTCTCTCTCTCGCTGGAATTACATTGAGCCAGCGCAAACCAGAAAAAGGTAAGAAGCCTTATGAAAGCAGGAAGGCTGTGAAGCTGGTGTTCTCACACATGGTGCTCAGTGGTACAGCCTGGCAAACGATTTCTCCCAGCGAGTGCGTGGTGACCTGTCCCCGGTGTGCAGTGATGGGCCCAACACTCCGCACGTCAGCACAGCAAACCCGCCCAGGGCAGAGGAGAAAAATACGGCAGGAGTCAGAGGCCAGAGCAGTGCCGTCCAAAGGAAACACAATGCCAACTGCATATCTGATTTTCAGTTTCCCAGCAGCTATATTTAAAAGAATTCAAAGAGGGGTGTCTGGGTGGCTCAGTCGGTTAAGCATCTGCTTTTGGCTCAGGTCCTGATCCCAGGAGCCTGGAATTGAGCCCTGCATCAGGCTCTCTGCTCAGTGCGGAGTCTGCTTCTCCCTCTCACTCTGTGCGCTCTCTCTCTTTCCCTCCCTTGCTCTCT